ACGGAGGCACGGGAGAGCGCTGCCCTGGAGCCAGGCAGCAGCGGCCACGAGCAGGACTGTCCCCTGGCAGTCCCTGCTGCAGCTGCTCTTCACTTGTGCAGTGGCAGCAGGACAGACACTGGCACCCGCATGGGTTCTGCTGGCAGCCCCTGGGTGCTGCCTGTTTTGGGGCTCCAGTTCTGGAGCGCTTCGCTTGCCCATCACTGTCAAGAGCAGCAGTAAATGTAACCTTGCAGGATTCGGCCTCGGGAGATAAGGGGAAGACAGGGAAGTCTTCCAGACTTTGTCTCTCCCCACAGGATGCAAGCAGGAATCATTGAGGGCAGCAGACTCCTACCTGCTCCCTTTTCCCCAGAAGATATTTCCCTTTCTCTGAAAAGAGTCTCCAGCCATCCTGAGCAGAGTCCTCTCCAGCTGCTGTCACATTGCCCTGGTACATTATAGCAAGATGACAATCAATTAACTGCTCACTCTATTGCAATAAAGAAGCCACCCAACCTTATATAACTCTTTTTAACTGTTTTCTTACATTATAACATTTTGTTAAACTTATTCTGCCATAAGTTATATCATTTAATTTCTCAAAGTGCTAATAATTTAATTACTTCCTTCCTGCAGACAAAGTGCCTGGACTGTCTTCTGTCATTCAGTAGATTATAAGAGGTTGCTGGCATGAATACTTAAAAGGGACAATTTGTTCACAGAGTCTTACAGAAAACCACTTTCCCCAGAGTCACTGTGTTGAACCTAAAGCAGCCACAATGGTGCAATGCCCAGATGAGTCCTTCTGAGTTGGGACCACATTGCTCTCTAAAAAGTCACCTTGATCCAAAAGGTGCAGCAAGTTTTATAAGCAAAACTCTACAGCTGGGGTAAATTTTCCTGTCCCACTGGCACTGCACAAAAACATCTTGAAATTAGATAGTGAAATTACAGTGATAAATACCCAGGCTACCACAGAGTTTCTTACAGATTGCAGAGAAGCTACAGCCTGAGAAGACCGAAAACAACACACTTGCAGTTTACATCCCTGAAAAAAAGAATTTGCTAGCAATACAGTACATCACGCATTTCAGACTTTGATCAATAACCTCTGTCTGCAATGTAGACTTTCCAAGTTTTCTGACAGTCTATTTCTAGGAACAGAATTGCTTATGCCAAACCTGCTCTGGGGCTCCTCTGGGTACAGCCTTGCTTTGTTTCTGTCTCAGTGCAAGTTAAGATGAGGACACTGCCAAGCATCCTTCCAGGAAACTGGATGTTTTTCTTACTCATCATAGCAAGTCTTAAAGATGCAGTTTGCAAAATAAAAAGGACTAAAAGTAGTGTTCAGTTTAGCTATCTAACAAAGCTTCTGATCACTGGACATAGTCACCACATACAGCGTTATCTGATTGCATTGTTAAAAAGAAATTGTGTTGTTGGAAGGAGACCGTTAACTTTAATAGTCATAGAGCCTTATCACTTTGTTACCATTATCTTACAAAAACAGCAGTTTCCAAAGCAAGCACAAGAGGAACAGAGACAGCATTGCCAAGCAAGTGAGCTACATAATTTGGTACTTGTAACTTCTACCAACCTTTTGCAGATCCTGAATGTTCCTTAATACAAAATCACCATCTTTCCCAGGAACTTCACCGCATTCAGTATTCTCTTATGCCCTGTTTAAGGCCAAGGGCACAAAGTTTATATTAACTAACAACTGTGTTTAATATTTCAACTTTATGAAAAGGTAAGGAAGGATACCTATAGATCACTAGGGAGGCTATAGAGCAGAGAGAGAAGTATGGAAACAGGTGGGCTCATTTAAAGCATAAACAGCCCCTCCTCCCCCTTAAAGGCATGCTTGTCTTGCTTTTTTTATTGTGGCTTAATAACTTCTTTGTTCTTAAAGTGAAATGCTTTTTTTGTTTATTTGTTTCCAGCCTAGGAACTCATAATATAATTGAAATTTCTCAAATAAATACACTAAACTGGCCACGCCAGTGGAGGGGAAATAAATTTTCATTTTTGTAATTTTTATGCTTCTGTTCTTTTTCTCGCTGGTTACTGCCTGGATCACATGCTGGAACCCAAAAGCAGCCTAGTGAGCTCTGCCCAGTGAAGCCAAAATGTTGCCCAAAACTAAAGGATCACAAGAAATCTGTTCACACTACTGTTAGACTCAGCTGCTCAAATGTGAAGAAAAGTCCCCAAATCTCCTGAAATTCACCAAAATCATGATTTTTTTAAGGATAAATTCAGCAGTTTAGTTCCACATGCCTGTTATTTCTAACCTTCTTAGCACTGAGGCTCAAGCTTTCCAAGTTTTTGCTGCTAGATAATTACAAAGATGATGATGAAACCTGAAACTGCTCTAGGAGCAGATTTTAGAGTAAGAGCTACTGTAACATAAGACTTACAATAAGAAGGTTTAATCTGGAAGCACGGAGTTCTCAGTAATTTTCCCCTGAGCTTCCAGTACGTCCAGCTCTAATTAATATCGTCTTCTAATTCGGCTGTATGACATTTTGCACAGGCTCAAAAATAACTTTAAAAAGTGCAAGCTTTGTTCAAGATCCTAAGTCTGTGTAGCCCTTGAAAATTTTTACGCGGTTCTTTTTTTTCTGTAGAGTACTTTAATAGGCCTGAGGAAAATGTCATGTATCTTACCTGAGTCTGTACGGTCCCAAGTAAACATGCCTATGTGAACATGTAAGCACTGTAACATTATAGAGAGGTGCCAGTATATATAGGATGGTATGGATCCTAATCTAACTCTGATAAACTGTAGAAGTCAGTGGCAGTATTAGCAACACATCTTAGTCACCACAACAAAAAAAGCATTGCTTCCTGGTTAGTACAACCGGTGTCTTTATTATTTTGAATGCAAACAGTCCAGCGCTGCAGCTCATGTCTGTCCTGCACTCTTCTGCTCCTTCTTATTCACTTATGTCCAAACATTCCTCTTGAAAATACGGTCCACCCCATACAGGTTCCTGACGGGCTGCAAAGGCACAGCCAGCAGCACATTTTTACCTGAGATGGGCTCCCAGGCTGCAGGAGACAAACATGCTGCAGTAACATAAGACTATTTTAAACTTAAGTATTTCTTTTTTTGCTTATATATAATCTCTTCACTGTCATATCTAACATGTCATTCAGATTTGACCTTCTCTAGATCCCTAGTAGGTACAAAATACCATAATCTCTACATTTGAAGCATACAGAGATTAAATGAATTGCCCAAGGCCAAAACAAAACAAAAAGGCTGTGGCATCAGCAGCTCTGGAGAATGGGAAATCAGAACACTGTAAAGTAAACAAATATCACAGTAGAAAATCCCATCCGGTTTAGAGTTCAGAGCACATGTATGTGTTGAAATCAAATCTGAAATAACAGCAGTTTTATTCTCTTTTACCCAGGAATCAGACTACTAAAAAACAAGAGACAAGCTCATATGTTGCTATGATATGTATAGTAAAAAAGTGCAAATTCTCATAGTTCTCTGTAGACTCTTAAACTTTGTACAGCATTTAAGGTATAAACTGCACAACGCCAACCTGACAGTCTCTGATAAATACCCAGAACATTCACTCACATATTTCAGAGACTTTCACGCATCAGGAAATAATATTCCAGTGATAATATTGCAATATGCAGTGTGTTCAAATGCTGCATTAAACAATCAATTTGCAATGTCTGGGAAAGCAGGAGCAGTTGCTGCTTGTAAACTGCCTGAGAGTTAGCATATCGTTCATTCTGTTCTCACAGACAGGGCAGAACTGTATTTTTACAAGGTTTCCTGGCAGGATCAGTTCCTGGTTACGCTGGTGCCGGAGCATGATTTAGCAGAAGAATCAATATATAACGGACTGCTTCTATAACAGATATCCCCTTTTTAATAATTAGCAGTGTTGTGTCACACTGATGGTGTTACTTACAGAGAAGATATGTCAAGAATGTATAGTTTCCATTCAGTGTTATGGATTACTTACCCCTTTCCTTCTTTTGAGTATCTAATTCTCTTGCAAAAGATCAAATTATATTAATGACTATCCTGGTATAACTCCATGACAATCATTACTGATATATCTGTGGGAAAAACAGGACCAACAAACATTAAATATAATAATATAATGGAATTTTAAAAGAGGTAAAAAGGGAAAAAAAAAGAAAAAAGAAAGAAAGAGAGAGCTGACAGCTGACAGGACACTATACATGCACATGGCAGCAGACAGAATGTATTTTGGGCACAAATATGCAGAAAAACTTCTGCAGTGTGCAAATTCAGAGACTAGACATTTGTTTCTTGTCTTTTATAACAATAATACTGGTTTCATAACTGCAAAATTGGTTTACGTAGCCAAGGGTAGCTTTCATTACTGTATCGCCAGATGCATAAATGAGATGTTTTCAAAATCTTGTTAAAACTTGAAAAACTTCCTCAGAACAGGACTGAATATACTTTTAGAGCTGTTTTAGAAGGACTACAGTGAGTGTGAGAGCTGTCAGCCTGGTTGTGTGTCATATTGTGTGGGAGTGTGAGAGAGGGAGCGACACGTACTTGTGACAGGCCCGCTCGGCGTGGTTCGAGCTCCTGCGCAGGCTTTCATGAATGAACTTCGGGAGCTTTTTATGAATGGGCGCTCCATTTGTGAATGAATACCAGAGTGTTGCGATCTGATTGGCCCTGGAGGCTAAAGCGACGCCCCCTTTCCCTGGGTGAGGGCCAAAAGGCGACGGGATTGGTGGGCATTCCCCAGCCCAGGACTTCATCCACAAAGTCAATGAAACAAAGGAGCGAGGGAGCCGCGCCGCGAGCGAGGCGAGTCGCCGCGGGGAGGCCGCCCCCGGGCGCACGACGGCCTGAGC